TTTTGTAATCTGTTATATTATTTTTGTCTCAAAATAATTGGTCCAATTTCCACTACTAGTATAATAAATTAAATTAAAATTTTAAAAAAAAATCTAAATTAGACAATTATTTTAGAACAGACGGGTATCTATTTCGAGCACAATCTAACCACAAAATCACAAAAAATTAACCGAACCCTGGTTGGCACATGTGTACTGGTCATCTGGGCTACTCCAGATTTGTAAGGGCTGTTTTCAACGAATCGGGTGCTTGGCTTCAGGGATCTAAAAAGAGGAGTAGTAATTAATCAGGAATTAATTATTTAACTAGCTGGTTCTCCTGTTGGCTGAATTGATCAATTTTCCTTCTCTTCAGAATGTTAGTACAATTAATAGAACAATCATTTTAACACAAAAAAAAAAAAAAACAGTATATCGTTTTCGTTGACGTCATTAGTGGGATTGAGCAGAAATGTTAGACTTTGAAAGACGAAGTTGAAGCCAAGCGTGTTTCCAATGTCTCTTTTTTGAACATCAACTTCGTAACATTATAACTAAGAAAGATTGCTTTTAGGTAGGTACAAGTTTTACACACTTAAACACAACATATTGGACCCAGAGAAAAATCTTCTCCATTGGTCATTTGGTCTTCTCATCATCTTATGACCTTAATATTATTCCTCTTTATCTCTTAACTAAGTGCTTAACAATTAATCCACACTTAAGATTCTAGTCTTCCGATGATGAACTCAAATTGTTCCATACATTTGACTGATCAAACTCCATTTTTTTTTCCTAGTCTGTTTTGGGATGTTGCCATCAGAGAGGCAGGTAAAAAGAACCAAAAATCATTATTAAAGCTTTAAGGAAAAAGAGTAATTGTAATCTTAAACTAATTAAAGATTATCAGAATAGTAATCCAGATAACGTGACCAAGATTTAACATCAACTGAATAAGATATGAGTGAAAAAGTATAAAACTTTGATTGGTTATTTGACCTTACCTTCCAATTTTAATGTTGTGTAATGGAATTGGAACTGGAAATGTCTGCAGAAACAAAGGCCAACCGTACAACGTGGTATTTTCGCTCTGATAAAATTGCGGTTTAAGGTTATGTAATTCACGCGTGACTCACCTAAATAGTACAAATATGATATACTTCCTCCGGTCCTTGATGTATATAAGACATTCTAATTTGTCCTAGGTTTAATCTTGTACTTATTTTTAATTAATTAAAAAAACCTTAAAAATATTGTATAACAATCAAGAGAATACAACGAACGTGAAAATATATTTTTAAAGTTTTTTTATTAACTAAACATATGTACTAACTGAAACCTAGAAGAAAATCAAAACCCCCTATCTTAATATCCGGAGGGAGTAGATCTTTAATTTGAAATGGAGTATATACTAATTAAAAAAAAGGATTTCTTTCTGAAAAATAGTTGATACATGAGTGAAGCTCTTCTCGCCTAATTAAATTTAGATCTTACATTTTCTATATTCTTCCGCCACCAATCATAATTTTTTCTTCCCGATGGCCACAGGACAACTAGTAACTATGACGGTCGACGGAGGATGTATTGTATAGCAGGTACTTCGATCCTGAGATAACTCATGGGTTTCTTATTTCATACCACTTATACCTTCAGTCTAAAAATCATTGCATCTATAGGGTTTTGAAAATTATTTTTAGCATAATAAACAAGACAAACATAACTAGTACTCCCTCTTTACCAAAATTATTGTCTAGTTTGACATTTGAAATTTAGTATAATTTGAACTGAGAATGAAAATCCAAACTGGATAATAATTTTGGGACGGAGGGAGTACAATTTACAATCATTATGAAATCTCTTTTTTCTATTTGGGAAAATACATGGGTTGAAATTGAAAATTTTGCTATTTATATGGTGCTTAAATAGCAAGACTTGATAGTTAATCAGAGATAATTTCATTGACTTAAATTATATGGTGCTTTATAATTGCCCCTGCAAGCCTTGCCAAAAATTTACAAGTTTAGCAATGGTGTTTTGATAGATGGCGGAAAATTAATAGTTGTATAATTACATGGGAAAGAAGCTATTATAGATAGAGAGCTTGTAAAATTATATTTTTACTCCAAAAAATGATGTCTGTTTGGGATAGAAAGAGGCAAATAGACATCGACTAATATTTCATGAGTAGGCATATGAAAAAAAATTATAATAATAATAATAATGTAGATAAATCGAGAAGCTCATCGTAGTACTGCTGTCACCATCGAATAAAAGTTGAAGAAGAAGATGTCGAATCCTCTCTTCAATAATAATATTCCCTTTCGTGTGGAGAGAATGTTGTTGTCATGAACTAAGAAAGGCCGGTCGGGTTGTCTTGCACTTACTTTACTCAAAAGTCATTAATCTTTGCTCATCTCTTCTTTTGGCTTATAATTACAGATTATGTTTCAAACAGTAGTTCTTAAATTTGACCATATCTTCTAAATCTCCAAACAAATTAAAAGGCATCAAAAAGCTCAATGTCTAATGATACAATTACCCCTTAATAAATTAGGTACAAGTAACTTTTTCAAAACTATTTAATTTCTCTATATTCCTGTCTGTAATTTTTTATCTTTGCACTTCGCATATTTGAGTTTTAGATATTTTGGACGTTCAGGAATCAGGAGGGTTAATGGTTTGGTCTATTTTGACTTGACCACAATATTTAGCCTATAGCCTAGCTAGGTTGATAACAATTGACTAGGTCAACCCACTCTAATGGTCAATATTTACTCTACAGTTTGTACCAAACTAAGAAAGTCAACTTGTTTTTGGCCAATTTGACTTCAGAAATTGAGTCCTTCAAGATGTAATTAGCACTTGTAAAGACTCATCAGAGTTTTTAATTTTCCTACCAAATGTTATGTTTGACAAAAATTTTTTGATAGCAGGTTACATTAGTAGACTAGGAAGGAGTTTGTCACGGGTAAATTAAAAGGCTATCATATATCGTTGTATGGTTTATGATAATTCATAATGTAATGTTAATGCGGGAGATTAGCTTAATTCGGCTTGAATTTGGCTTACCCGATACTTACCCGGCTCCAATCCGGATTATACCAAAAAAAACGATAGATTAGCTTAATTGTCTTATTGAAATTCCTCCTGGTAATTAACTTGGTGACAAAATAAAGAAGTAATTGCACGTGCCAATGACATGCATGGATGAATTAACTGATCATCATTCTCCTTTTCGGACTTTTACCGTCGGAATTCTTCTGGTAGGCATACATAGCCATCACTAAGGCTGGAATCCAACCCACAAAATGCTAAACATAATTACCACACGATCACAGTTATTATTCCTACTTTTGTAATCTTTTGCTTCTAATTTTTACCTACATCCTCTATATCAGATTGAGTTTCACGATTCTTATCATTATGATTTTGATTAATCAGACCATGACAGAGTTTTACTTTGGTACAGTGATTATTGAATGAGAATCGCACGATGAAAATTCAGAAGCCTAGGCTGGTGCCAATATAAGACTTAGGAATTTCAACCTGGGGTCAACGCTTTGGCGTGCCATGTCAACCTTTAAGACTTAGGAATTTCAACCCATAAAATTGCATTTCGTCCCACTTTATAGTTAATTTTTAAAAATTATTTACCAACAAGCATTTAGTCCAAATGGTAAAAGTATCAGCTGATTTAACTGCAAAGTGGGAAAAAATTTGAGCACGAGCATATAGCAGTAATTAAAATATTTGTTGAGAAATTTTACCTCCTAAAATGTATATATAGCTCAATGTAAATTAGTTGGAACAATGACTTCCAATACCAAATACATAATATACTAAAAAAATAAAAATTGAGTATTATTTTACCTCTCACATTACAACAAACTCTAGTCTACAAAGTTTTCTCTAATCAAAAATGGCGCCTCTCCTTAAAGCTCCAGAGTTTTTTCTATTATTATTATTATTATTATTATTGTTGTTGTTGTTGTTGTTGTTATTATTATTATTCTTTTCTCTGAAACTATTGGTTTATCAACCAAGAAGTAGAAAACGTTTCACTGCTACTTAAGAAGAAGATAAAAGCAAAAGTTCATGAACAAGCTCCATCATATGTGATGATCAATGCTGCCTAGACCACCAATTATGGTAAAAAATAGATAATTTTGAAATGGAAAAGTAGTAGAAAATTCTCGGTTAGCAAAGTCTACCCTAGCGCCAAGCTTTGTGCCCACAATTTCCCCATGCACAGGAATGAATCAGAGCATAGTTTTCAAATGAAAAAGAATTTCCCTATGCACATCAATGAATCAGAATGCTTTTCAGAAGAAACCCATAATAATCCCGCTTCCCGTATGTAGGTATATTAAATTTACAAATTTACTACATCTTGGCGCTCTCCATAGCGATAGGCGACCTGAAAATTTTGCTAATCCCGACCATTTGAAAAGTTCTTCAACAAGTGTTTCCGGTAAACAGAGTGTAATTTAGAGTGATGCTAATCCGTCATTTGGAAAGTTCTTCAACAAGGTAAAACAGAAAGTGTCATTAAGAATGATGTAGATTGTAACGTAGTAAGAACTCTTAATTATCCTAAATCCCTAGGTTAATCAACCATGTAACATATAAATTGTCAGCGACTACTCTGTAAGTTCTATAATGTGCATTATATTTTTATGAATTACTTTTATTGTAATAAATATACAGTCACCATGACTCTTCCCGAAGGAAAGCTTCTAGAACCCTCTGGTGTTCACAATTTAAATAGTTCTTACTTATTAAACAGCCAGAAAAAACCAGCAGAAAGATTCAAGTCTCAAGTGTTACACAATCTAAGAGGTTAAAACGGAACTAATAAACATCGATCCGTCACCCTATCTATCTACTGGAAACAAATTGCAAAATACAAGATACTAGCTAGCTGGTACGACGTACGAACAAGATACATAAATTTTCCCAAGCAAAGATACGTTATTACATTATACAGACAGATCGATTATACGTGTGGCTCGAAGACTCGATTAGACCCTGGCTCCAGTTACACCAGTTGTGCCTTTAGGCTCGGTTCCCGGGGCACCCACACCATAGTCCGGGTCTCTGTAACCCGGCCCGTATCGGCTGCTAAACATTCCCGCATGAATCAACAAAACATAGAGCAATTGCAAGAACATCAGCACTATTATGAGACCTTCCACAACCCTCAGCCTCCAGGCTCTCCCTGTCCTAATGCTTATTTCTTTGCATGCAAACCTACAAATTAATTAATTACAACCCGTTAGAAAGCTAAGATTGCGTAAATGGCAGTAGACCCAAAATATATATATATATATGAGTGATTTTCAGGGTCCTTTTTAAGAGTTTACCCGAAAGCCAGTGCGGTGACTGCCCAAGCAACTAAAGAAGAAGATCCGGCGGCGGCTAAACTGTCGCTCCTCCATGCCCTTAAGTGGTTCCCTCCTGCTAATTTCGAAGCAATTCCCAACACGGCGGCTAGTATGGCAAATGTCAGCAAGAAAGGTGTTGCTCCATTACCACCTCCAAAGCCTGAAAAAGTTATTTAACAATTTATGATCATCAAAACCACAAATTAATACATCTTGCATCACTCTTAAAAAATAACGACAATCTAGCTTCACATTTGAATTTGTAATCGCAATCTTAACCATCGCCTTACACTACCTCATTATCAAAAAAGTTTTTCAGTACGAATCTTAAAACTAATTAAAACTATGTGCACTGTTTTATTTAAAAAAAAAAAAAAAACAAAGCAAGAAACCAAAAAAAAAAAAAAAGAGAATTGCTTACTGGGATGATGGGTTTGACCATGGATGTACTTATCCAGACACCAACTCGCAAAACCTAGAAGAATGAAATACAAAACCAAGTTCAGAAACAGCAACGGAGCTGCTATGTTTCTTCCAACTGTTCTTGCCATTTTTTTCTTCTTTTCCTCTCCAAATTCCTTCACTTGCCAAATCAAAAGTCCACGAAGAACTTGCTTATCAATTAGCTTCCCGTTGACTAAAAAAAAACACACGAAAAATCTAAGCTTCAAAATGCTTGTTTTATGCTGCTTCTATAAATGTTAACCTTTAAGGAAGAAGAACAAAAGTGGATATATAGAGAGAAAGGGATGGCTTTTTGGAGTTCGGGAAATTTGGAGAAATATAAAAAAAAAAAAAAAAAAGAAGCCATGCATGCAAAGAGCTCAGTACGTGTCCATGACTCTGAAGCATGATAGCTTCAATGGTGAACATGTGTAGGGACACTTGTCGAAATCTGCATTTCATCATTCTCATGGAAAAAACAAACTTCTTTTTTGCTGCTGTAAACAATTTAACGGCTAACGGTGGCCACCTTAAACTGTTCTTATCCATGTTACTATGCTACAAAGATTTAAAAGTGAAAAAGAAAAGAAAAGAAAAGAAAAAGAATGGTAGAAGCTTAGGTAGAGGCTTCTTCTAACTTCTTAGAGAGCTCATCATCTTCAAGTACTGGTAATATTGAAGCAAACATTTTCATATTTAGATAAGAATTATTATTATATCCAGTGTTATTTCTTAGAGATAAGATTGGATGAAGATAGTGTAAGAGGTATTGATTTTAGGAAAGTGATTAGAATAATTAAGAAAGTGTTATTTCCTAAAAGACCTATATGTGTCAAAAAAAAAAAAAAATAGATGGCTTTGCATTTTTTTAGACAAACATAAATACTGTATTGTTTCAATTCAGAAGATGTAAAACTCCTTATATTATGGTTTTAGTTCTGCGCACAAAGTCCTACTTGTATGCCTAAGATAGCTACTTCCAAGTTTAGACCTTGAGAAGCAAAAAATGTTGCGCTAGAACCAATTCCAATTCCACAACAAGTGAAAAATCAAATCAGAACCAAATCTTGAAGCTAAAAAATTTACGTTTGGGAAGTGTTGTGCGACCAGTGTATCTGTTAAATCGAAGTAATATTTTGGTTATTAACAATTTAGTATTTAAATTTGGATAAAATATTCATGATCCCTAATAGCTTTACAAAAATGTAAATATGAAATTGTTATTTTTGTTAAAACGACACGAGTGCTTGAATGCTTAAAGAGGGATGCAATTCTTCTTTGCAACCTCAAAATTTGGTATACAAATGATATTATAAAATTGACAACAAATAAAACTAATGGAATGAATAGGAGATCCAATGATTCAAACACGTACTCAGAATTTCACAGAGATTTGATAAATTTTAGTAAAGATACAGTCTTTATTTTTCCAACCATCCTACATTACTTTTAACATCATTCATTAAGATTTTTATGTAAAGTTCCGACAGGAACATTTAATGTTGGGTTAAGGATTAAAAAACAAAAAATAATAATTAAATAAAATCATATGATAAATTTTATTTAATAATTTAAAAAGTGTTTTAGAAGTGTGATGTAGGAGATTTTTAGGTGGTTGTTAAGGAGAGCAGATCGTCTGTCCATTGTTACGCTGTCTTATTCTGTCCATGAAGTAAAACGTCGTCGTTTCCTTAAAAAAACAGGCTGGACACACTTTTCCCTTTTATTTTTGTTTTCTTGTACGTTTCTATTTTCCCTGTCTTTTTCTTTTGTACAGACTTTTTCTCACTTTCAGCAATTCCAGCAGAGGATTTCTCCCTTCCTCCAAATACGCCTCCAATCTCTTAATCGTCTTCCGTCGAAACCAACCAAACAAAAAAAAAATCCAGGGCTAATGCACACACAGTAATGTTTCACTCCCACAACACAATAGTTTTCAACGCAAATCTTAAAAAAATAATTTTCATATGATGGCTGGCAAAAACCCAGTTCACAAAAATATCACAAAGAAATCAACGCATCTAACAACACTACATCGATCTGCAACTATAATTTTTAAAAAAAATAAAAAAAATAAAAAAAAAATTGCCACAAGCCAAAGTTGTCTTTGACAATCACAGCTTCCGCAAGAACTCATCCATCCGGCCCCATCCCCTTGCTTAGGTTTAAGGAGTCATAAATCCATGAAGATGATGGAAATATTGGGGATGTATTTAAAACCCTAAACCCTAACACAAAATTGACAAAAATCACACAAACAACCATTTTGAAATCTAAATTAACCATTCAAAAGTTTGAAAATCAGGAGCGGTTTAAGGATTGCAGAAATGGGAGCAAAGATTGCGGTGGGAGAAAAGGGTTATGAAGAGAGGAGGAGAGAGAACACCGCGGAAATGAAGGGTGAAAGGGAACAAAGGTTTAGGCAAACGACGGCGTTTTTTTGTCATGGACAGAATAAGACAGCGTAATGATGGACAGACGATCTGCTCTCAGGTTGTTAAGGCAGTGGCTTCGTGCACGGAATCATTTTTTTTTTTTTGTACACTTTATTAGCAAACTCGATCAGGCTACCACTCATCGCCTTATCTGTTGAAATAAAACAAAATCTTTAGCAAAAATGACACTGAAAAGAACTAATGTTAAAGCATTTCAGACAATAGATGTATGTATCTATTGCCATATCTGTTTGCTGATTCATTTACAGCTATCCTGAGAATGGAAGATCGGTAAGCACACATAATCAAATTTAAGATAAAATAGAGGTTTGCCGAATTTGCATAATAATGTCAGACATTCGTCCAATTATTTACAAACTCATTTTTGTCCGGAACTGCTCTTCCCTATTTTTCGTGACAACCTTTTAAAATGGTTGCATGAGGAGACCAAAAACAATTTGGCATGAGACAAGTCCAATCTGAAAACATAATTAATCCAAATCAAAAGGGATTGTCAGAAAATACGATATAAGTGAAGATTTGTAAAATACTCTCTCCGGTCCTTATTATAAGTAATTTTGAGTTCGTCTTACGTTTCATCTAGAAAATTTGTTTAATTAAAATAAAAATTTTAAAATTATTCAATAATAATTAGGAGAACGCAATGAATGTGAAAATATATTTTTAAGATTTTTTTTTCAATTAAAAAAAATTCTAGATTTACTTAGGATGAAATTAAAATACCTTATAATAAAAACTAGAGGGAGCAGCTAAAACAAAGATAATTCCAAGCGAAACTAATCACCGAAATTTTGAATACTCTAAGTGACACTAAAACAAAGGCTAATGTCAAGAATTAAAAAAAAATTAAAATCAACTATTAGAAAAGCCAGAGTTCACAATAATCGTACCTCAATCAAGCAAAACATTGCATAACAAAATTTGCTGCAAGGAAAAAAAAAAATTGCAAACAATGCATCACAAAATTTGGAAGCTAGCTTGAGGAAGGTGCTAGTACTTGCGTGTTATACTTGAAAGCCTAATTTGTGTGGTTCTAGAGCTGTTACGGCCAAGCTTTGCCATAGGTGTTTTCCTACTTCTACTATAAAAATTATTACAAATTAATTTCCTAATGCTAATACAAAATGGAAGAACATTGATTGGAGTGTTCTTCAGCTTTCAGAGTTTAGGAAAAGAATAGATATGATTCAATCCTTCAATGTAAATAAATAAACTACTCATACAATCTTTGATTGAAGGTTTTCAAAAAAAAAAAAAAAAAAGAATCTGAATCAAATATCAAATGGGTTCTTAACTTCTTATGTATGATGTTAGATAACTTATGGTACTTTCTACAATTTGTACTGGAAAGTATCTCTTGGGGCAATTGGACATTGAGTAACTCCCTCCATTTCATCAGCCTAAGGGGTTCCAATCTGCAATTAGAAAACATTGTTTAACTCAGTAAGATGAACACCAAATTTGGTCCAATAGAATCAATAAAGTTCAAATAAAAAGTTCCAATTGAAGCATCAAAGAATTATTCTATATATCCATCAGCCCAGACAGGAACAACCCCCAAAAAAAAAAAAAAACAAAAAAAATCCATCTTAATTCAGTTAAACAGACACATCAAAGGCGCCAATCATGTACCCCTAAGATAAACCTCATGTTTTTCTGTAGATTAAGGGCCAATAGATTTAATAAAATGCAATCAGAATCCAAAGGAAGCTTTAAAAGATTAGTTTCATGTACTATCGCACAAGTCATTGGATCTTAACTTTAAGTACAATGTCGGGACTCATTCAAGAATGCATGAAAGAAAAAAAATACAAATGGTGCAGCAATTTCGATTCATGTTAGCAGTTCACATACCATCCAGGAGCCATCTAATCACCATAACCAAAAAAACAAAAGAAAAAATAGCCCATGCAGTCACCAAAGCTCCCAAAAGTATATAACCTCACCGAGGTATTACTTCCAAGTTCCAACCTATGGAGTTCAGATGCCATGTCAATTGTCTTTTTGAATTTGCCAGTTGCTGCTATAAATATCCTTCACATAGATGAAACCTTTTTTTTTTTTTTGTTTCCTTCAAAAAATGGGAAAGAAATAAAGTACTCCCTCCGTCCCATAATTATTGTCTAGTTTATGTTTTCATTTCTAGTTTAAATTGTACTAAAAGTGAAATTTCAATATGGAAAATAATTTTGGGACAGAGGGAGTAAAATTTATACCGTTTCCCAAATCAACTGGTGAGCTACTAATAGTTTGATACATGATGAATAAAAAATAATCAAAAGTACATGATACATTTCATTTTACTTTTGCGTATAAGATTGGTGAGATATTTATCAAACTAAGAATCCAGACAAACTCTATGTTTTCGTATCTTATCCTTACACAAGCTCACAAAATTTTTTTTGAGAAAATGACTTTATAAATTTTTATAATCTTTGACAATAAGCGATTTTTTCCAAGCACATCAGACTGTGATCACCGCCGGAATTCATTTGACATTTTTGACTTGAATATGGAATGACGTGGCAGTCAACGGTGCATTCGATTGCCATCACAAATATATCATGTGCTTTGAGTTTGAGTTCATCACAATTTGGTTTGACTTTTATTTCGAAGCAGAGAACCGGAGATAAATAGAAGAATTATGCTCC